CGCGGCGGGCGGCGGGCGGGCGTTCGCGGCGCGGCGCTCCCTGGGCGCGGTGCACGCGAGGTAGGTGAACGGCCGGTTAACAGGGCCGGGTTTGAGCACGTTTAACTTCGAAATTTTGAACTGCGCTTCAAATTCTACCTTTATAAAACTTGTAGCCCTAACATCTAGGTTTAAATCTTACAAATGGATTTTGCCCAAAATCTAAACGGATTTGAAAATATGGAGCCCCAAAGTTTGTGGGAACGTGTTCATTCAGACAGACAAATTTTTCAAGTTTGCCGATTTTCAGAGTTTTGGCCAACTTTGGCTCAAATTTTGAACGGTTTCCAGTTTGAATCAGGCCAAGGTGTAATGGACAAAGTTGTTCTTTGATCTTAGGGATCAAGCTTCTATTACTGACTTTTCTTAAGTTCAGTTCAACTTTGAGGAGAAAACTGCTTGCCAACTTGCATGTGAATTTGAACTCCTGTGAACTTGCATGTGAATTTGAACTCCTATGAACTTGCATGTATATGTGAACCGTTATGTTTTTGAAGTTAATGTGGTGCCGGTCCGTGAACTTGCTATATCATGTGTCATTATCATGCTGTATAAATGTTGTATAAATGTGTTAAAATGATGCTGTATCATGTTGAAAAAAAGAAAAAACGGCTTGCCAGCTTCTGCAAACTAGCCACCAGCAAAAAAAAAGAAAATAAAAAAAGCGGCGAAGCAAATTTGAGAGGGAAAAAATATGTGCCCACCTCTGATGCATGCGCCCAGCTGCAAAAAAAAAGACCAGCCAGCCAGCGATGCATGCATGCAACAGCGCCTCTGCATGCGCTGCATGCATGCGCCCAACGCCCGATGCATGCATGGCGCCAGCACCAGCGTCTGCATGCGTCTAGGGGCAAAAACGTCTTTTTAACAACCAGTTAACACCGTTAGCTAATGGATTTGACGGTAGTGTCAAATTATGGATGAAAGTCGAAGTGAGTGTTAAATAGGGAACGAAGAAAATTTCAGGGCCAACAAAGAAATGACTCATTTTCCCAGTGTCAAATAAGGAATTCTCTCTTGATCTAGACATAGTGCATTTATAAGTACATAGTAAAAGCTATGCATCTAGAAATGTCGAAACATTTTATAATTGGAACTGAGGGAGTACTTCTCTTGCGCAACAAGCTGAAATATGCTTGAAACTGGAAACTTGTGTCTCACTCACTCCCTCCGTGTCTATGTAAAACATAAACGAGAGATTCTTCATCCCAAAGTGAACAGGATATTTTGCTTCTAGGCTGCAAAATTTCATTTGCCCTGCATGTCCAAGCTATGAATAATAAGATATATAGAGAGAGAGAGAGCCGAGCCCTTCTTTCATTAGGAAAGAGCATCAATGTGTGATGACTAGGTACTGGATGTAGCTTCGTGCTCCATGCCTGCTGCCCGTCCATGGATGTAGCTTTGTGCTCCGCCCCTGCTGCCATGTCCATGGATACAGCTTTATGCTCCGCACCTGCTTTGCTTCCTACACACACGCGGGGACCGCTGCGCCCGAGTGGACCACCTTCGCCTACGCCCCCTTGCCACGCCTGCTCATGAAACACTTGCAACATAAAGCGTTTGCTACAACATACGTCCGAAACAGATGAAACATTTATAACTTACGCTTGCAATATATGTGTGTGGACACTGCAACATATGCAACATCCAGATAAAACACTTGCAACATATATTTAAAATAGTTGAAACAGTCCAAACATACACTTGCAACATATGGATAGCCAGTGCAACATATGCAACGTCGATATAAAACACTTGCAATATACGTTTGAAACATCTGAAACATACTCTTGCAACATACGTGTATAGCCATTGCAACATATGCAACGCCAGATCTACTTTTGCAACATTCAAATGAAACATATGCAACATACATATGAAACACATGAAACATACGATTGCAACATCTGCTCATCTACTTGCTCGGCGCGGAGGTCGGACCTCGGTTGTGCGTAGCGCGAGTCCGGGCGGGAGACGCAAGGTGCAGCGTAGCGCAGCGTGAGGCGCAAGGCATAAGTGGCGCGTGGCGCGCAAGGCCTGGGCGATGCGAGGCGAGAGCAGCCCGCGGCGCGAGGCACGAGGCACGAGGCTGCAGGCACACGTGGTGTGGGTGCAGGCGGGTCCGTCCCGTCCGGCTGGATGGAGGCTCGGTAGACAGCCGCAAAGCAAAAGGGGCTAGTGCAATCCTCTCCTGTTTAGGTATTAGATAGATTAATGTTCAACTTGGTAGGATGTCGTTGTGCACAAAGACGTCGTACCAACATTTTGATCTTACCAGCAAACAGGAGTAAACCTGATCATGGGTTAAACGACCTGACCCACCGGTGCAACAGGTCAGGTTCAGGTCATAATTTTTGATCCATGACCCGATTGATAAAAAATGACCCAACACATAAATCTGGAAAAAAAACGAGAAACAATTCAGACTTTGTGTCGAGTTTGGACCAAAGATTTTGACGCGACATTTTTTCTGGCCCGACCAGACCTGGCGTTTCATCAGGTCTAAATAGGCGTGATCAAGGATACTAGAGATGCAAGTTGTAATCTTCTAGAACCATTGGACTAGATCCAGTATGATCATTTCGCTATGATCAAGCATGCGACACTAACGAGCTGGACATTTCTTCTAAACTCAAAACAGAGCTCTCTGTTCCTTACTAACATCATATTGATGAATTGAATACTAAGCTCTCAGCATGATAGGTAGGTTATTTCTAAGATTTAAATCAGTGACCTGAATACACAAAGCTTGTGATTATATAAGTTTCTGTTAACTTCACATTTACAAATCTTGTCTTATTTTTTTGACATTCAAATGATTTCAAATGAAAAGGACGTTAATAGCAAAGTTGTAGATATCGTCAAGACCTACAACTTTGATATTGATTTTGTTTCTATTTGAAGTTGTTTAAAATGTTCAAGAACTTATATTACATAATTAGACATATAAACCATCCCAAATTATAAATCCCAAATTATAAAGTTGGGAGTAGTGTGTAAGCGAGCTGGCAATAAAATGAATGCGGAGGCATGCAAGAGTATTAATACACTCAACCGAAAACTAATTGAAACCATGATAGATCAATTAGTGAACCAGAAATTGCGGTAGCTATGTGTGTCAGCATGGCACTGTCTTCACCCTTGGAGGCTCGTCATCTTCACATCTCAAGGACTGTATCGACTGCTGAGTCGCTAGACTATCACCTCTCATAATCGTAAACCCTTCTCTCGTTTTCTGCTTCATGTTCATGACATCCTGAAATAGGAGGGCAAACAATATAGTCTGACTTAGTTTGGTTGCACAGGAGGTGGTGGCATTGCTATCTTGTTGTTTGTCTCCAATATCTTATTGATTGAGTTCCCTCCTTGATCCTCAAGATCCTCTCTCTGCTTATCCAAACAAAAAACCTTCAAGATATATAGAGATTGTTAGATGCTAAAACTAGGAGCTCACATGCATGAGCATGAATGAACGCATGACTTACCCACACGATTCTCATTCTAGTTAGTAGTCGCTCGGACTTACAACTTTAGAAAACATGACCAATAAAACTTGATTAACTAAGGGTATTTTGTGTGTATATAAGAGCCAATATAGATCATAGAGATTGAACAGTGCTTACCATGCTTTTTTTATACAAAAAATAAAAGGCAACGATCATGTGTTAAGAAAAGATGTGAACTTGTGAAGCATTTGACAATTTGTCATAATGCTATCAAAATATTACATGTTTATGAGAATTTTATTTCAGCATGACAAAAAAATGTTTCAGCATCAAGAGATTAACGTTCCAACATCACCATAAACACAAAAATCCTACATATTTAGATAAAAAATGCTTATGATATATTCACATAATAAAACAGCAATATGTAAAAATGAATCAGAGCACAAGTTTAAAAGAAACCAATAACAAAATTTACCCTAGGTTAGTGATAGAAAGGGGAAAAATCTTCCCTAGTGGTTCTGAAAAAATAAAGATAATTATTAGTGACAAGTTATGAAAATAAAAACAGTTGGAAGCAAAATAAAAATAGAAAAAAAAGAAAACAAGACCATGGCAAAATAATAAAGGGAAAGAAGAAAAAGGAAACGGAGAAAAAAAAAGAGCTAGTTTCATGGGCCGCTTTCTGCCCAAAGTCTTGCACCTGAGGAGAGAAATAGAAATCGGCCCAGTAGAGCGCGCGGAGAAGCAAGGCCCGGAAGAATTGCTCTCGTGCGTTCACATTTCTTCTCCCCTTCACCTCGCGTGCGCGGCAACTAGGGCGACCGCCGCCGCCGCCGCCATACGCCCAGCTGCCCAGGTGCCCTTAGCCGGCGACGAGAACTCTCCACACCAGGTATGCCCGCCCCTTCTATTTTCTTCCTGCTATGCGAAACTGAGCACCCGAACCTTCTCTTTTCTTCCTGCTGTGCGAAACTGAGCACCCGAACCTTAACTTGATGTACTTGGCTATTTGTGTTCGGATTTGAACTAATCACAAGTGTATACATATATTACGTATACTAGGTTCGATTTATTATATCGGGTGTACATGTGTTATGTGTACACCCGTGTCCTTTATTGGGTCCTCCCCTGGTTGGGGATGAAGAAGAAGCTTGAACTAACTGCAAGCTGCAGTTCGGCACTGCCCGAATGCCCTTTACAATTTGATAAATTTGAGACTCTTGTTACTCCTATGTAATACTAGAGCTTAAGTAGACTGCTATTTGCACTTTTATTCATTTATTAAAAAAAATACGAAGACGTAATTGCTTCTTGGGTTCTTTTTTTTTTGCAACAATGCCATAATTTCAGTGTATCTGTATCAGGCTATCAGCCCAGTACCAACACATGTATCCGTATCTGTGCTGTGCAAGCGCAAACATTCACTTACTATAGTCTGCCTTCTTCCATTGGGAACAGGACATAACAGCGGTACAAGAGTGAACAAAGAAGCATCGAGAGGAAGACAATATGCCAAAGAAGGGGACTAAATCTAAGAAGAAGGAGGTGGACGATGTGCCCAATCAACAAGAAAATAAGCTTCCAGACTACCTGGAGCTCCAGCGCACACGCGTTGTCTGCAATGATGATGCCCCCATTTATGTACACACATTTATATGCCACTCTTCTTTAATGGCTTTTCATTTGTTGATCATGATCACCTTCATCACTTTAGCTTTGCACATGTTTCCTTGTGAAATTGTCTGTTTGGTCTGTTTGATATATTGTCTTGCATACAAACTTAATTTCACATATATGCACAGATATTTTTACATTAAGCGTCTAATTGACTACATCACAGAATACAGTAAGTGTTTTTATTTTTTCACCATTAATTTTGTGTGCTATTTTTCTTCAGATAAAGGATTGAACATGTTACTCTTTACCTGATCTTTTTTTCGCTATCTTGTTAAGTGCACTGTTGAATTTGCTGCTATTCATACAAATTCTCTGAAAATAACCATTTTGGTTCTTGCTGATTTTTAACTGATTTTTTTTTGTGTATTTTTGGAAATAGTTTATATTTTTTTGAAAGAACTTTCTCTTTGTTGATATTGAATTTCATTCAGTTCTATTATTGGCCCCATATATTACATTTTATGTTTCTCTTGTATGTTTAAAAGACTCAAGGTTACCAACACTCGGGTACATTTGCTGCTATGGGAGTTGATAATAGCGTGTCAGTGGAGAAGTTTTGCAAGAACTTCAAAATCGAAATAAATCGTCTCACTGAAGATGATATGGAGTTCGATATGATTGGTATTGATGCATCAATAGCTAATGCTTTCCGGAGAATCCTTATCGCAGAGGTATTTGCATGTTTTATGAGATAACTGAAATCTATCTATTTTAGCACTTCATATGTATTAGAGTTCTGGATCAATAAGTTAATTTAAACTTCCTCTGAACTAGTAGGTTCCTACTATGGCAATTGAGAAAGTCTTCATGGTTGACAACACCTCAGTTATAGCAGATGAGGTTCTTTCACATAGACTAGGACTTATACCACTTGATGCAGATCCAAGACTCTTTGATTATATCTCAGGTAAGTACCTTCAATTGCTCTAGCTTCACCTTAATATATTTAACACAAGAGCCATCTTATTGTTCCTTTTTCTTTTCACAGAAAACGATGTCCCAAATGAAAGGAATACTATTGTTTATAAACTGCATGTTTCATGTCCAAAGGGTTCTCAACGAATTACAGGTATACCTTATCTTCCTGCAATGTCTGCTGATTACAGATCCCTGTCATCTTTCAAAATGAAATGCCATGCCCCATGTGGCAATGTTACCTTATTGGAATCATTGCTCAAATTGTAAAGCGCATTTAAGCACATGTGGACTTATGTGACATCTATTAAAGGATTTACTTTTGTATGTGTACTGTGGTGACAAGTTAAAGTTTCCATTTGTAGTTTCCTTGTCGATGGATTTTACTTACCTCAAGTTGGCATCTTATGCACTTTGTCATTATATATTGCTATAAAGTAAAAAAAAAATTATATCTGTGATAGTTGAACTTTATGATCCTTTGCCTCCTTATATCTCTTTTCTTGTCAGCATAAACCAGATTTCCTCGTTGACTGCTTGGTTGTCTGTGACAGTGAAATCAAGTGAACTAGAGTGGTTACCAGAAGGTAGCCAATTAAGCATGTCAGCCCCTGCACACTCTGGGGACAAACAGAAGACTTTCACTTCCTTCAGTCAAAGCCAAAAGGAGATCTTAGAAAAGCCTCTTGGTGTGAAGTTTAAAGATATTACTATTGCCAGGCTTGGGCCAGGACAGGTAGCTGTGTGACTTGTTTTCTTGGCACCATTATGAAATGAATAGGTTTACCTACATCTTCTACACTTCTTGATTCAATATTTTGGTTAAGACACTTCGTTGCGTGATTGAGTCCATGTGGTAAAAATGGAACTTTAGTCCAGTGGAAATTACAGTTTTAATTTGTGCAGGAAATAGCTTTTCCTTAACTGATACCATAGAAATAAACTATGTTGGTGCTTGGAATTCATTCTGCGACTTTTTATGCATGCCAGATTTAAACTTTGTAAAGATAATTTGTCTATTATACCAGTTCTTTTTCCTCGAACGGTCTATTATTTCCATTAGGGTAATTGTACTTTGTAATTTAATCTGTTCTTTTATAGGCTATTGAATTCGAGGCACATGCTGTTAAGGGAGTTGGGAAAGTTCATGCCAAGTGGTCTCCAGTTGCGACGGCCTGGTACAGAATGCTCCCTGAGGTAAAATTGTTTCACTACCACATTTTACCACAAGATGGTGCATAAACTGTATCCGTTGCTTGTGTCCTGATGCTATATTGCTATATTATCAAGTAGGTTGTTATTCTTGAAGAAATTAAAGGTGCTCAAGCAGAGGAGCTAGTGAAGAAATGCCCAGTTAACGCTTTTTGACATTGAAGACCTGGGTAATGGTAATTTCTCTTTCCTTTCTTTTTAAGAGGCTGAGCTTGAGGTAACAAGGAGTCAGAAACTCAGTATTTAGCTGTAGTGGCAATCAGCAAGATGTTGTACATTGGTTGCTGGAGCAAGTTGATTGTTTGAAGCATTTGAAACTCTTTAATGGTATCAACCACTGTTCTAGTAGAAGTTTATGATGATTACTAATTGCAAGTTTGAACAACAAAGAATTATAAGAAATGTAGTATCCCAGGTTTTTATAAGTTCTCATTTGGAAACTGTATTAGAACATGGTTGATGCTTAAGGGTTAGGGATCAAAAGCAACTTACGAAGCACTGACCTGGATGTCCATTGCATAAACTTTTTGGGTTTTATTAGCCATCCACATTAACCCTTACGTTTTTGTATACACAGGTGGAAAGAGGGCAGTTGTTGCAAAGCCAAGGGCATGCACACTCTGTAGAGAATGTATCAGGCCTGAAGAGTCGGAAGAGTCCACCGAGGGCGCGTCCGAAGCCCAGGAGTCATCTGCGCCCTGGAAGCAAATCGAGCTACGGCGTGTTAGAGACCACTTCATATGTAAGTAGTCAAGAACTCGATCATCTTATACCTCAAGTAAAATGTCTTCAGTATCGCGCCTCCATAGTTGGACAACTGTATCACAGAACAGAAGTTTTGTCCGATACGATAGCGCTGTACTTCCACTGCAACATTCTAATCCTCCGTGTTGGCTTTTGTGTTTCCTCGCCAGTCACCATTGAGTCCACCGGAAGTCTGCGCCCGGAGGTGCTGTTCACAGAAGCCGTGAAGATTTTGGAAGAGAAGTGCGAGAGGGTCATATCTGAGCTATCCTGAGAGGCTGACACTGCAATTATGGAGTAGAGTAAACCAGCTCAGCCTGGCATATCTGGTATTTTGCTGGAGACTAGTGTGCCGTCAAACATTTTTGTGGTGGATGTTTGGGTCAGGAAATGAGAGCCGGACTAGTACCACTGTTGTGCTATAGAATAGCCTGTGTAACACACTGTGATGTTAGATTAAACTGTGGCAGGTGAATCAACAGGCAACACGAGATACTGGATATGGATCCAAATGGCAGTTGTGCCACAGGCAGATATCGGCGTGTTAGTGCACACCCATTGTGTTTTTGCATCGAGAAGATATGTGACTCGGTCCAGATTTGGCTGGCGTGTTAGTGCATTGTGTTTTTGCGTCGAGAAGATAGGTAACTCGGCCCAGGTTTTCCCAGGTTAACTCTGGAAGAGGTATGCGAATTCAGTTTTCACTTGCTATGGTGGCTTGGTGCCTCGAGGGCCATCTCTTTAGTGAATTACAAACACTGCCTATCTAGCTGATAAGCAGGCCTTCTCCAGAGCATGCGTGTCGAGGCATCTTCCACCTTTGTCCGTTGGCCTGGTTGCCACCTCCCCCTTCTAATCTCTCTAGCCATGGAGCCCCACCCACCGCCTGTCTCCTATCCTTCCCGCCTCTGGTTTTATTTTACACCAAATGGCACTTAGCAGCAAATGGATATATAAACTCTTTTACGACAAATGGCACTTAGCACCAAATTCTTTGACACTTAGCAACAAAATATTCATCACAAATATTTAGGCAGTGTGTCGCACAACACTAGTCTTTCTTGCTGTCTCATCATCTTTACCATCTCATATGTGGTACAAAATGTCGAAGAAGAGTTACACTACACAATCGCTTACCATCTTCATTAACATTCTTAAGGGCTACGGGATCAATTTATGTTTCATGCTCATAGTATCCTAGACCGTGAGTACCGACTTGACTCGATTTGGTGGCATAGGAGGTTATCGCATCATTGCCTTATTGTTTGCCTCCAATATCCGACTCATCTAGTCCTCCTTGATTGATATGATCTCTCTATCTAGTTTCTCCCCTTTACTTATCCAAACTTGATTGATATGATGCCTCTATATAGTTTGCCCTCTCCTCTACTTATCTAAACAAAAGGAGATAGGTAGATGGCAACTTTAGGTGGCTCATGCATGACTAACCTATTGGGGGCTCATGCATCAGCATGAATGAATGCATGACTTACCCACGCGACTTGCATTATAATTATTAGTCGTCACTCGGGCTTGGAACTTTAAAATAGATTAGCACCAAAACTTAATTTGTTAATTAAGTTTTTTTCAAAATATTTTGGGCCGGTAGCTGCGGCCTGCAATCACCACGCCGCCGGCGACTACCACTTGCCCCTTCTCCTACTGCATCCCACGGTAGCCGTCAAAGTTACGTTGATTAGTTAAATGGGAGCTGAACTAGTACCATGGTAATATCCTGTGTAACACAGTGTAATTTCAGATTAAACTCTGGCAGGTGAATCAGCAGGCAAACACGATGGATCGAAATGGCAGTTGTGCCATGGTCAGATATCAGCGTGTGTTAGTGCACAAGCATTGTGTTTTTTGCACAGGTAGAGAAGATAGGTAACTGGGCCTAGGTTTGTGCCCAGGTTAACTCTGGAAGGGTGTGCGGAGTCACTTTCCACTCTCAGCGTCCAGTTGTGTTAGTGGGCCGGGCTGGACTGTTATTCATGTGCAGCATCGGTTCATGCCCCTCACCAGAGCTGCCCCTGCAACTGCCCATCTCTATTTCCTCAAAAAAAAAAAGGCAATTCTATTCAGTGACGAACAAACAATGCACATCGAGTGGAATGGGCCATCTCTTCAGTGACAATACTCGAGAGCGTGACCGTGGCCGCCGGTATCGAGTTCGCCTTGGTGCCCTCAAAACCTAGAAGCCAATGGTATCGAGTTCACTTTAGAGTCCTCCAAGACATTTTCTTTTTTGGATAGAAGAGTCCTCAAGACCTAGAGTCTCTCTTAGGGCCCTCCAAAACCTAGAGCCGGCCTGCCGTGGCCGTCATGGCCCATGGGTAGGGGTTTTGCATATATACCTAGGTGATCGCATTCGCATTCGCATTCGCCTTTGCGCCACTGATTTGGTTACTGGTGCTCCGTAGTCAGATGAACAACCAACCGGCTCGCTCATGCATAAGCGTCCCAAAGATCACTATGCAAATAATTGGAGGAGGAAAAACTCTGTTCGCTCAGCATGCCGCGTATTTTAGCTTGTTGAGCAAAAATAAATAACAACCACACATTTTGAGTGACTGATGGTCCACAATTGTTGCCTGGCTTATAACAACCAAAAAGCCCCTTAGACACTCGCAAACAGCCCCTTAAATCCCTAAATCTATTTTTACTAATTATTTTTTTGTTTTTCTTAGATTAATGATAAATAAAAATTATAAACAAAAATATTTCAAAGTAACGGTGGTACTTCTCAACCACACTAACATAGCTATAAAAACATTATTGGTCGCCTGAGCAAATGGCTATATAAACTCCTTGCAACAATTTGCGCTTAGCGCGGCACCGCCTTCATTGCTAGCTAGTGTGATCTTCACCATCTTATGCTTGGTACGAACTGTAGTCATTTATCATCGTCGTCAACCCTCTCCAGTACTACTGGATAAATTTCTGGTTCATTCTCATAGTATTCTGTACTATGAGGGCCACCCTGGTTCAATTTAGTTGCATAGGAACTCATCTCATTGTTTCCAGTTGTGGTATCGTCAACCATGAGAGCTAACGGTTCGTTTTTATGGTTCTAGAATGTATAAATTTTGGCCATGTGTTCGTTTTGCTGAGTTTTTTTTATCTTGGCACTTGACAAAAGTCCTCTTTGCCGAGTGTAAAACTCGGTAAAGCGACCATATATTTTCAGTTTTTATGGTTCGGTCACGTATAACGTACCCCACTTAAATAAACATCGCAGACATCACACATAATTCACAATAAGCATCACAGGCAGTTCATATAGATATATCTATACTATTTCTAAATTATCGTAACACTTTTATATATTTTTTCTCTCTTATACCCAAAATTTTCAAAATTGACATTCAAATCAAGATCACAGCTTCAGCTGCAATAATAATATTTTTATATATGTCCAGACGACACTACACGGACGTCGTCAGTGGGACATGCAAGATATTCCTACTCGTTGTTCTTTCTAAATTAGAAAACCGGACTAAAAATTGTGCATTTGTATCTTGGACTATTTTTGGAACCAGAGAAAAGATAAATTAACCACACACACACGGCTACGTACACAGGTAACTTGTGATAGCCGAACAGGCCAGTTCGGACGGTTAGCATCTGAAGGTAGGTAGCATCTATATATATATATATATGATACACTGGATCGATAATGACTTTGTTATATGTCGTCTTGCCCAACGTGGACTCATCAACGGAGACTTGACTCGCCGTGTGCAATGCACGCACAAAACCTTATATTGAGTGTACTTAGAAGGTCCACAAACCATACACGTGCATTATATATATTTTTTTAATGGACGAAAAAACCCTATCTTGAGTGTGCTTATTAGAAGGTCCACAAACCATACACGTACGTGCATTACATTTTTTTTTTGAATGCAAATGTGCTTTATATTCCACTTACGTTGCCATCGGTTCGCCGGATTCATTCAACTTATTTAATTGGTCAACATAATATCATTTTCATGAAGATTTTCGTAAAGCAGCAGTCGTCGAAGTCGAAATCGAAGTCTTGGTAGATCGTTGTGTAGCTAGCCAGGTCTCTTGGGAAAACTATTCAGAGATAACGCCGATAATGTGAGGCATCGACCAGCAAAAAAAGTCTATTGTTGGATACTCAGTGACATTGAGCCTCTTGCTCTCGATCTTATCTTCTTCTTCTTCTTCTTCTTCTTGCGCTTTTCATGTCCAGAATAATATTTATATATCTCTAAAAGACATGAGAAAATATAAGGCTCCCTGTTTGATGAAAAAAAAAACACTAACAAAACAAATCAATGGTATCCCCATAATGAAAAAAAACAATGGTGTAATCTAGTTTCCCCATATGTAAGCCCTATGGCATCCCCTATGTAACTTGCTACTCATGTAATTGAGCTGCAGTGTTCTGCAGCTCAAGTGTGATGAAAAGGTGGGGATAACCCCTCCCCCCACCCCTCATTACCTAAAAAAAAAACATATACTACAAGAATAAGGAGTATTAACGACTTGATGCTAACGACCACGTACAAATTTTGGTCGTCGGTCCTGGTTTCGAGAGATTTCACGAAAATACTTACGGAACCGACGACCACACAACTGGTGGTCGCTATTTATTTCTGGTTTTTGGTAGTTATCATATATCTCATTACCGGAAACAGCAGCTTTGCCGTGTGCCAGTCCAAAAAAATACTCGGCAAAAGATTTGCCGAGTGTAACACTCGGCAAACAGCACACGACATCTATAGTGCCGGCAAACGTCTCCTTACTGAGTGTTTTTTATCGGGCACTCGGCAAATACTTTGCCGAGAGCTGAAACCCACGCTCGGCAAAAAAAGTAACGTGACGGCGCAAAGAGGGTCACAGCGCATTTGCCGAGTGTCCGGGATTTGACACTCGGTAAAGAAGCCATGAGTTGCCGAGTCCCCGGGCCTTGACACTCCCGCAAATATGCCCTCGTTTGTCGAGTGTTCAGGCACTGACAGTCGACAAACATGGCTGCTTTGCCGAGTGTTAAATCTCGGGCACTCGGCAAACATGGCTGCTTTGCCGAGTGTCAAATCCTGAACACTCGGCAAAAACTGACCCAGAATGTACAGATATTGGCTTCTTTGCCGAGTGTCACGGCGCAGACACTCGGAAAAGAAGCCATTTTCGTCCCAGAATGTACAGATTTTGGTCATGTGTCCGTTTTGCTGAGTGTTTTTACCTTGCCACTCGACAAAAGTCCTCTTTACCGAGTGTAACACTCGGTAAAGCGACCATATA